TTTACTTAAGACAGAGTGTGCTTGTTTTCTTTTCCAAAATGAACTTAATAAATCAATGGAAATTATGTAGTTCCCTACAGGTTGCAGACATTCTCATTGTGTTGGTGCATTCTAGCCAGGTGTTGATGAAGTCACTCATGAGATCCTTGGGGGAAGGTTGACCAATGTGGAGAGTGCAGTCAATTGAGTGGGTTGACCATCATCTCCAAATCAGCTAATGAATGGGCTGGTGTGTTACTTACATCCTTTTTGACTATTCATTATCCCTACTGGAACGTGAGCTCTTAGAAAATGAGCATTTGCTCTCTATTTTGTTCATGACACCATCCCCAGTACGCTCAACAGTTGCTTGGTCCATAGTAGCAGGTGTTCAAGGAATGTTTGTCGCATGACTGAGTGAATCTGGGGTTAAGGCTGCACCTCAAGTCCTTAAAGCTCTGTTCAGCCCTCATCTGCTCAGTGTATTGTGTCAATGATTTCGTTAAAGACATGAGCTGGCATGCTGGCTGAACATGCAGGGGATGCATCATAAGGATAGATTCCGGTCTCCAGAAAGATCCAGTGGCAAGAGCCATTCCATAATGACCCATTTAATTGCATTTAAAAGGACTGGAAGTACAAGATGAGACACGAATGACAGTGTGTGTTAAAGGAAAAGATTAAGAATTTGATTTTTTCACCAAATATTAAGATACTTCAAGAAGTTTGCAGAAAATGGAATGGGAAGTTAAGTTTATTCTGGTGCAAAAACTTTTGTAATCCACACGTAGTTCTGTTTGTTCATATTGAAAATTGTAAGCACCATGATAAGATTTATGGTGATTTAAAAAAAAAAACACACTTGGGCACTAAGTCTCTTGAAGGAAAGAGGCTTTCATCAAATTACTCCACAAGCAACTGTTTATAAACTGTAAAGAACAAAACAGAGTGCTAAGAAGATAACAAGAAGTCAGGGAGAGTTAACACACGAGCTCACTTCTCAGAGGTAGTGCGAGTGAACCAAGATAACGAAAACCAAAGGTAAATACCAAGTGCAGTGGGTAAACAGCAAGGGCCTGCTTGAGTGCTAATGTGGTCTCCTCTCCTTGGTCAGGCTTGGCATCAGGGTCAGGGCTGGGCTAGGGACTCAGTTTACTTGCTCTCCAGGGTGGGAGTTTGGCTAGGGTCCTTGTTCCGGTTTGAGTCAAAGGGTCAGCACTCTCGGTCAGACAAGTGGGATTAGGGCCAAGGAGTGAGTCCACATGGCTGGGAGATAGAACTAAACAGAAAGAATGGGCAAGTATGTGAATATTTGAGGTTCATGAGAGCCAACCTTCTCAGTGATGGAAGAAGGAGCTGCAAATAGAGAAAGGGGAGAGGTCAAGATTAAATCCACTTCTGTCAGATTGCGAATGGAGGGCTCAGTATGAATTCGTGTGTGTGTGTTGTGTATGTGTACAGACATGTATTATGCATGTGTATTTGTATATATGCATTTGCACATTTATTTCCTAGCTCTGCCCACCAAGGTGGACTTAGAATGGCACCCTTCAAAGCAACAGAGATTTACCTAGGCACTCATTAGCAGTCTCTGAAGAGGAACCAGGGCTCCTTGAACATAGGACTGATTCCAGGGCTGAGGCAGGGAAGTCACAGGATGGGCCTGGAGATAGGATTTGGCCACAGAGATGATGGGGACATGTCCAACAGGTATAGGAGCCAACTCTGGGCAGCCAAACAGATGGCAACAATAGTGGATTAGAGCCCAGTAAACACAGCAGGAATACACCATATATATATTTTTTAGATTTAATTTATTTTTATTATTTTTTTTATTGGAAAGGTGGATATACAGAGAGGAGAGACAGAGAGAAAGATCTTCTGTCCAATGATTCACTCCCCAAGTGAGCACAACGGCCGATACTATGCCAATCTGAAGCCAGGCGCCTCTTCCGGGTCTCCCACGCGGGTGCAGGGTCCCAAAGCTTTGGGCCGTCCTCCACTGCTTTCCTGGGCCACAGGCAGGGAGCTGGAAGGGAAGCGGAGCTGCCGGGATAGAACTGGCGCCCATATGGGATCCCTGGTGTGCAAGGCGAGGACCTTAATCACTTGCGCCACCGTGCCGGGCCCGAATACACTATATTTTTAAAAAGATGAAACTATATATAAAAGTGAAGGGGCCAGCGCAGTAGCTGTAGCAGGCTAATCCTCTGCCTGTGGCACCAACATCCCATATAAATGCCTGTTCATGTCCCAGCTGCTTCACTTTGATCCAGCTCCCAGCTTGTGGCCTGAGAAAGCAGTCAAGGCAAAGTGATGTTGTGTACTGATCAGTGTAATGCACTGAGAACACATTACTTCAGTGGGGGTACTGCCCCAAACCCTAAGGAAGCATCAGACTTACCTAAATGGAGAGCCATACTTGCAGAAAATAGCTTGTACTCTCCAAAAATGTCAAGCTCATTAAAGATAAAGAATGACTGAGGATTTGCTTTCTTAGCAAAAGATGAAAGGGAAATGACTAAATGTGACTTATGATCCCGAGCTTATGGCAGATTTTATTAGGACAGTCTGAAATTTGAATGGGATCTGTGGGTAGCAGCATGCCATTGTCGCTTCCCCAGTTTGATGGTTCATACTGTATTTCTGTGAGAAAGCGCCCTTGCTTTAATAAGGGTTAATGGGGCAGACCATCTTTAAATTAATCTTAACTGATTCAGAAAGAAGCAAACAGTGGATGATAAGGCAATGTGGTAAAATGTCAACCAATGGGGAAACTCAGTGAAGGGTGAGTAGAAGTTCTTTGAACTTAGTTGCAGTTTGGTTTTGTTTTTGTTTTTAAAATAAGTTTTGGTGGTTTTTCAATTTTTAAAAAAGTTTTAATTTAGTTTTATCTATTTGAAAGGCTAAAAAAAAAAAAAAGAAGATGTCTTCTATTCTGCTTCCCTCCGCAAATGTTTATGAGAGCCAAGGCTGAAGCCAGGAGCCCCGTTTGGGCCTCCCGCGTGGTAGTCAGCGGTCCATGCACTTGAGTCATCATCTTTGGCTTCCCAGGGTGCACATTAGCAGGAAGCTGTATCAGAAGCAGAGGCAGGACTTGACCCTAGGCATTCCAATATGGCATCCCAAGTAGTAGCTTACCTGCTACAGCACAATATTGGTCTCAACTTTTCTTAAGTTTGAAGCTATTCAAAATCCAAAGTTAAAAAATTCTAATATGGAGCTGGCTCTGTGGTGCAATGAATTGAGCCACAGCGTGCAATACCAGCATCCTGTATTGGAGGGCTGGTTAAATTTTTAGTTGCTCCACTTCCAATCCAGATCCCTGCTAATGCACCTGTGAAGGCAGCTTCAGGATGGCACAAATACATGCGCCCCTGCTACTCACGTGGGACACTTGGATTCACTTCCAGGCTTCTGGTTTTGGCCTGGCCTAACCCAAGCCACTGCAGTCATTTGGGAAATGCACCAGCAGATGGATAAATCTGTCACTTTGATTTTTAAAATAAATGTTTAAAGAACAAAACCAGAGGACTGTTGTGGCACAGCAAATTGAGTTACTGATGAAGCTACTGATTCCTTATTTCAGCCTGGTCCAACCCCAAGCTGTTGCACCCATTTGGGGAGTGAACAACCGATAGAAAAATCTCTTTTTATCTCTATAATTCTCCCATTAAAATAGTAAGTAAATCCTTAAAAATAAGAATAAAAGTCAAATAAAAAAAATGTTAAGACAGGGCCTGGCATGGTAGCCTAGCGGCTAAATTCTTTACCTTGAATATACCAGGATCCCATATGGGCAATGGTTCCACTCCTGGCGGCCCTGATTCCCATCCAGCTCCCTGCTTGTGGCATGGGAAAGCAGTAGAGGACGGCCCGAAGCCTTGGGACCCTGTACCTGTGTGGGAGAGCTGAAAGAGGCTCGGGTGCTCCTGGCTTCGGATTGGCCCAACTCCAGTCATTGAAGCCACTTGGGGAGTGAACCAGCAAATGGAGGATCTCCCTCTCTGTCTCTCCTCCTCTCTATATCTGACTTTCCAATAAAAATAAATAAATCTTTAAAAATGTTAAAACGCATGAACTGGGGAAAAGCCATTGTGTTCTCATCGTACAGCGGTACCAGTGCAAGCAGAAGAAGGCTGTCACACTTCACATGAGTTAGAGACCCACCTGGGATACAGCATTTGACTGACTCTTGGGCAGAGAGGTGCCCTGATCGGATGAGCAATGAATAGTCGAGAGATCTGTAGATGCCCGCCTTGAAGGAGAGAAAGTTTGGAAGAGATGAAAGGGCCTGGCTTCTGTCCTCAGCTCTGCTGGGGGAGAAAGCCAACTTCTCATGAAGAGACATACTTCTGTTTAGCATGAAGAAGGACTTTCTCCCAAACAGACAGCAAAACACAGTGGCTTGAGTTATCTTGGAAGTGCCCTGAATTTTCTCCTTGCTTGTTTAAAGATGTATATGTTTATTCATTTTTAAGGGTTGGGGGAGACAGAGTGAGAGAGTGAGCAAGAGATAGTGAGAGCAAGATTTTCCATTCACTGGTTCACTTCTTAAATGGCCTGGGCAGGCCAAAGTCAGGGCACACACATGAGTGGTAGGGGGCTCAAGCATTTGGACCATCTTCTGCTGCTTACCCAGGTGCAATTAGCAGGAAGCTGGATCAGAAGTGAAGCAGCCAGGACTGGAATGGGTGCTTGGGCATCCCAAGCAGCAGCTTATCACATTGTCACAATACCTGCCCCGTGGATACTCCAACACTGACCCAATCTCAAGGATGTGCTACAGACAGACAGTTCATGAATCTGACAAGTGGTGGGCGCAATGACCACTTAGCTCCTTCCAGCGAAAAATCTGTGGTATTGGGAATTTGAGAGCTTTGGGAATACAATACTATACCCTCATTTTGTTCACTTGGAGTATAAAGTTTCTTCTTCACAGATGGGGTATTTGAAATATAATTCTAAGCATTTTTTTTTTTTTAGAAAATTCATTGGTACTCTAGAAATAAGCTGATTGCTGAAGTCAAACTCCAAATGCTTTTATTTTTGAAAATTAACAACATGAAAATAATATCTGAAAAAAAATGGAAACAAAGACTCAAAGAGAAAGTCTGGCAAAAATGTAAACATTCAACTTCTTAATACTACCTAGTGTCAAGAAGCTGACAAGCCTGCTTGCTCCCATGGCTTGCTCCAGTAGTCCTTACTCTTCACTGAAAACATGCTTCTTTACAATTCGCTCATTGAAAATGGTGTCCGACCTTTGCTCCAATGCTTGCATCATCTCAGCATACATTACATTCATCTGGGAAAGAAAAGAGAAGATGGATTTTTTGAGAGGAAAAGAAAATGCAGGAAAGCTTTTTCAGACCCACGGGCATGGCATGAAAATCTAACCCTTCTCTCCTGAGTCCTGAAGAACCACTGCTCTGGGAGGATGTCAGGGGAACACAATGCCCTCTTGAGGAAGAGGGGTTCCAATACACGAGGCCTGTTTGCTAGCGGAAGGGCTATAACAAGGGAGATTAAAACACAACAAGGATTCTTAGCTCTTACTTAGTAACAATGTCCCGCTCCCCTTCCCCCCCCACCAAACCTTTCCTTGTTAGCTAATGGCCCAGAAACCTGCAACAGAGGGGAGTTCCTGGAGGAAAGGCCTCCTTAAACAGTCACTGCTTTGAGCACAGGACACGAAGCCTTCCCTGCACAGGCATGAACCCTGATGCATTTTTGCAGAACTCACTCTTGGGAGTCCATTTCTGTTTGCTCTAAGCTTTCCTCTGTTCTGCATCCTTCCTGGTTCTCAATCTTTTAAAAATGATTTACTTCATTTATTTGAAATGCAGTTACAGAAGTAGGGGGATTTCCATTCCCAAATGGTTCACTCCCCAAATGCCCCCAACAACCACAGGTGCTAGGTCAGGTGGAAACCAGGAACCTGGAATTCCATCTGGGTCTCCCACATGTGTGGCAGGGACACAAGTTGTTGGGCCACCGTCCACTGCTTTCTCAAGTGCATTAACAGAAAGCTGAATGGGAAGTAGAGCAACCAAAATTTGGACTGAAATTAATGTGGGATGCTGGCCATCCTAAGTGGTGGCTTAATGTGATGTACCACAATACCAGCCTCTGGTTTTCATTCTAAGAAGTGACTGCTTACAGTTCCCTAACCCTTGAAGTTAACAAAGGTACTTACAAAAGTTGGTGGGAAATAAAATTAAGAGTAAGTTTATTTTGGTTCAAAAATTTTGAAATCTGTACATATAAGGGGTCTTCTCCAAAGTTAATGTAAAATGGATATTATGAAGGAGCCATGCTTGGCCTTCAAACTTTTATTTGTGTTACCCCCCAATTTATTTTTTAATTCCATTTCCACAACCTTTTGGTAATACCCTCATATTTGGGACTACTGAGAGGAACAGAAATCAATTCTTTTCTAGCTAAGAAAGGGAGGGGTTGGTCTTATGGATAGCCCTGTTGGCCTCTCTGCCCTAAGGTCATGCCAGCCGCCCCAGGCTTCTCTCTCTTCACCTGAGCTTCATGGTTTTCCTTGAGGGAGCCAAGGTGGTCAATAAAACGCATAGCCAGGGTGCACCATTTCTCAGAACTCAGATATTTCTTCTTTTTAAACATACGTATCCCAATTTTCCAGGACTTGTTCATCAACCAGAAAACCTCCTCTTCCGGGTAGTCACTCTGAAATCCAAGAACAGTAGGTGTTGTATAGTTATTGCAGTCACAGCTCACTGCAGCACCACCTGTGTCACTGCTGCGTCCCATTACTGGTAAACAACAGGCACGGCTAATACTCAAGGGGTGGGCTCATGCTCTCGGGGAGGAGGAGGAGAGTGCTTTGAAGTTCTGTCAGCTGTAAAATATTCCACTATCTGATCTCAGGAAATGATATGTGAACTGATAAAGCAATGAGACCCTCTATGACTGAAGGAAGGAGAGACAGAGAAAGATTAATTGATCCCTCATCTCCTTAAAGCAGGATAAAAGCTGGTATTCTATGTGAGGCCTCCCTTGATGCTGTCTCCAGTCAAACATCAAGTACCTGCCTCCAGTCAAGCATTCCAGTACCTACCTCAACTGTTTAGGGTTACCATGAAATAGTTCTACTGAGTCTCTTCATATGTTTAATCAGTGTTTAGAACAGAAAGTATATTATTCATCCTTAGCTGTTAAAATATCCTAATTGTTTAAGTCTTCAGCTGACAGTATCTGCCAAGATGTGAATAAATAGCACATTTCTAAGATGGACCCTTAGGCTTCTCAGTGGTCTGCAGTGTTCCTAATGCAAATGACCCTAGCTTTTCCATTGCATTTTGCAGTAATGAAAAGGGTATGCCAAAGGAGCTATTTTCTCCATCCCTGCTATGCTGGGAGGTGGGGTTGGGGGAAGTGGGCCCAAAGGAAAGCAGTCCATGCAAAGTTTTTATCCACACCCCATGACAAGCCTGGAAGAGTGTATGTCAGCCTCAAAGACCTTGTCCCAGTCATCCTTTCATTCATTTTGATCTTATGCATAAACACGATGCTTCAAGAGCACACAATCCTTTTGGGAAGATACAGCATCCATAGGTAAAGATGGCTGTGCATAAGGGTCAATCAGAGGAACACAGACACCAGATGCTCTCCTTTAGTAAAAGAAAGGAGCCAAGGTGGTGCAATCAGAAATGCCAGCCTCCATCTTTGTCCCCTTGGTAAGCTTCTACTTCTTCAAATTCATAAGCACAGCAAGCACAGGAACTTGCTGTTCTTGCAGCAAGTTTTGCCTTCTTCATAGAATCAATGTCACCTCGTTTGGAAACTTTATGTATTTCCTCCAGATCACTGAGTTCTTTGTGGTACAGGGGCTTCTGGGGTGCATTTGTATATATATAAAGTCTAACAATGCCTGGCACATAGGAAGGGGGCCACAACCACTATCTGCTCAATGAATGAATGAGCACTTGATCTTAGCCAAAGGTTCAAGAAGCAACATGAATGAATACATGAATCAATATCCAGTCAATACCTCCACAGTGAGGCTTCCCCTGATTCCCCTCTACCTACTGCTCAAATCTGTTCTTTCACCTGGTTTCTAGATCACAGTAGCACTCTTAATACTGTCCTGTCGGTCCTGTTCACTAAGTGGGCACTCCTCCAAAGGCAAACCGTCATTGGCCTTTGAACCTTCCCAGTCTGGCACAACGTGTGACACAGAGTGTTGTGATTTTTAACTGAATGAGTGGAAAAGTGACTGAACAAACAAATATGATATTGGGCTAGATGAGTAGAGTGTAGATAGAATATAAGAAGTATCCCAAATAGGTGGATCCACAGAGACAGAAAATAGATTAGCAGTTGTCAGAGACTGGGGGAGGGTCAGGAGATAGGGGAGAGAACTCTAATGGGTGTGGGGTTTCCTTTTGGGGTGATGAAAACGTTCTAGAATTAGATCATGCTGATAGGTGCACAGTTTTGTGAATATACCAAGAACAGTTGAGTTGTACACTGTAAAATAGTGAGTTTCATGGTATTTGAATTAAATATCAATAAAAAAAAACCCAAGAATATATGGGTACAAAGAGAAAGAGAAGGTCATTTCATATGGGCAGTAAGACCCGGACTAAGACCTTGAACATGAGTGTGCTTCAGAGGGACAAACTGCTGGTGGGCTTAAGCAGATGATGTATACAGAGGAATTAACGGGAAGTAAGACTGGGAATGTAGGATAGAGCTTCGTAAGCATCTCCCAAATGCTCTTCCTCAGAACACTAGTGTCATGAGAACTGTTAACAGATGGTCTATGAAAATAGGGTTTTCTAATCAAATACATTTTGGAAACGCTGCATTTTATATACCACTCTCTTGGAGCATTATGATACATGGTTTCAGTGGAGATTCCAGCAAGCTTTACAGTAAAGCAGTCATGAAACTGTTTAACAAAAGGGTGTGTGGAACGTTCATGAACATCTCAGGGGCTGAAGTATAAAGTGTTTTTACTATAGGACACAGATTTGAGGAATTTATTCTGCCAGCAATGGGAAGTTTTAATAAAGTATAACTTTAATAAGAAAATTGTAGTTTTAATAAGACTGAAGTGACAATGGTATTGAGAATACATCTGAGATGCGATAAACATGGTTAGCATGATTTGTTCAAAAGTAGTTGTAAGAATCTAAAGATGAAGTAATGGAGTCAACTCTGAAATAACGACAATGGAAAGGAAAAGATGTAAGAAATACTGCAGGGGCTGGCATTGTGGCATAGCAAGTTAAGCTGCCACCTGCAATGGCAGTATCACATGTGGGCACTGATTCATGTCCTGGCTGTTCCATTTCCAATCCAGCTCTCTGCTGATGTGACTGGGAAGACAACGGAAGATGGCCTGAGCACCTGGGCCCTTGCCACCTATGTGGGAGACCCGGGTGGAATTCCAGACTAGAGAGTGAACCAGAAAACAAAAGGTCTCTATCTATCTCTGTAACTCTGCCTTTAAAAAATGAAACATTTTAAAGAAATGTTTCTGGGGGTGAGGGATGGAAATAATGAGAATTTGTACTTCAAATCCATCGGGTAACTTATACAATATCATTAGGTAGATGCCAGCTAAGACATACTGGTTTGCTTTATTTGACTCCATCCTGGGCTCAGCTGTGGTCACTGAGGACATCTGGGGAATGAACCAGCAGATGGGAGCTCTTTGTCTTGTTCTCTTTCTCATCTCTCAAATAAGCTTTTTTAAAGGTCATGATAAGAAGCTATAGTACTTGTCTAAAAGCTGGTAATTAGTGGCCTTGTAAAGTATGACTTTAACAGTAAATAGAATGACAGAGTGAGTGACCCAAGATAAGGCCAAAACAGGTTTGCAGAGCTTTGCAGGCCATTTTTGGAATTTTGATCTATATTTTAAAAGTAATGGGAAACGAGCTACAGAAAAGGACTAAGCAAGGTCACACATATTTCAAAATGTGTAAGATCTTCCTGGTGCTGCTAAGTAGGGAAAGATATAGAAGGAAGCAAGAGAAGATATGAGAGCTGTTAAGAAGTCCCTATAGAAGCTGAGATAAAAGGTGATAAGTGGAACTAGATTGTTGATGGTAGAAGGCATGAAGAAATAGATGCATTTAAGAAATATTTAGAAGGTCAAAATATATAGAACTTAATGCTAATTAGAAATAGGAGCAAGGGTTCTCCTATTTTGCGAGATTTTGGTGGCTTAAAGTGCCTAGGAAGAAGCTGGTGATGTTTTGACAGTGGTGACTGTAGCAGGCAGCGGAGAGTCCAAGCTTATGTACCTTAATGAACCTGTACAAATGCTGCATATCTAAGAATACGGATCAGGGTGTCTACCTAGGTCTCTCAAACACACAGGTCCTGTCCCCTGAAACTGCTGGAATTGACATTGCCCCTCTATCCCACCCCTAACTGCCCCCATTGTGACCCTGGTCCCCTCCTCCTCTATAGTCTTGCCAGGATTGGACTCAGGAATTGCTATCTGCCTGCAAGTTGTAGCAGAGACATCAGAGTGGAATTCGAACAAGCCACCACTGCGTGGTGTCTGACAGAGCACTGAATTCACCCTCCTGATCAAGCCCACTGGGAAAGAGCTCAGCAGCACACTTGTCAAAATGGAGACGCTGGTAATCTTAACAAAGCACGAGCTCCTCTCTAATGAGGAAACAATGAGAGATGAGGACCTAACAGGCATCACACAATAGGACATCAACTTCCCCAACAAACAGACTGCTCAGCTTCAGGAGTTCACGAGGGTCAAAGGCAATTAAGAGTGGCTGGCACCTCCACAGCCATTCTAACATCACTGTGGACTCCCTGCAGTCAAAACTAGCATCTGTGTCCAAAGACTCTAAATCAGTTGTAGAAGTGAACAGAGAACCTGAAGCATCAAAGGAACCAGTAGAAACAGTTTTCCGGGGTACCCTTGCCTGCCCTACCTCTTGTGGTTTTGCAGGCAAAGTCTCATGCCAGCTGCTGTCATGGTTGACTTTGTGGCCAGCCAGTAACTGAAGCTCCTTGATTAGTGGGATTCCTCCATTCAGATTCAATCAGACACCATGCAGAACATGGAGTCTACAATAATTGAGCTGGGCTCCATCTTTCAGTAGTTGATACACATGGTTAAATAACAAGAGGAAACCATTCAGAAGATCAACAAAAGCATACCAGAAACCCAGCTTCATGTTGAGGCTGCCCATTCAGGGGTCCTCAAGTACTTCATCAGTCACCTTCAACTGCTGGTTCAAGGTCAAAATCTTCCCCACCCTCATTGTCTTCTTTACCATCTCTATGGTCTTCCTTGCCTGAACCTTTTCATACTGAGGTACTCTTAAGGGGTAGGGGGTACCTTCTTCAGAAGGCAAGTGGTCAGTGCCATCACTGAGCCTGTACAGGCTGCTTAGGTAATAGGCGCTGTTTGTCTGGAACCACTAAGAATGGCCACTGTCCTTGGTTCCTACTCCTTGCCTCTGGTTATCTTGTCCTTCCCTCACCTTCCTCAGGTTTATAAAGCACAAGGTTCTGGACTTGAACTCTTCTGTGAAATGGCTAGTAAGGAGTGGAAGCCAGCAGGGTGCCAGTGGGGGAGGGTGACTCCACTAGGAGCCTTTATAAGCTCCCTCCCTCAGCCTCTCCCATAGGAAACTCCAGCAGCTACCCTGCCTCAAATTCCTGAGAGCTAGGAAAGGAAG